GTCAAAGAGAAGTGTCTCAGAATTTCAATTATGTTACAGTAAAACTTTTCATTTGATTTTCATCTCTGAACGTATATGTATTCGCTCTTTTTCCTTCGCTGTCTTCTTCTTCTTTAGGCTCGTGCACACGCTACATATGAAAATTTTATTCACCGACAACATACTGTTCAAAACCACTCCGGGGTGCAAAGTTTGCACCACCTAGTGTACTGTACATAATGATAGAGCGAGAAAACGATCGAACTATGTGCGATACAGAGAGGGTATGAAACAGAATAAAAAAATGATATTTCACATTTTGTCTTTTCTATAGAGAACGAGTCGATGAGAGAGAAAAAAAACTATAGTAAGCTATTACATAATAGCGCGAAACTGCATGTGCTTATTTTGTTCTCAATTACATCTATTTATACTAAATCAATTAATATTGATAAAACGTGTCAAATATCACATACTAAATAATAGTATCCATAGAAAATAAATATATTAATATCGATTGTAAGTCGATGAGCAAAGTCCAAAGAAGAATATAGTCGTGTCAAAGTGAAAGAGAAGAAATCAAGAAACAAATTTTGACCATTATTTAATACATGTATGTGTGACCTATCACGTTATATGAAAATCTAGCCTCTGACTGCCACAATACAAATATCGCGGAGCATTTTAAGAGGAAGTCGAGTCTGTTGTAATAATTTTTGGCGTATAATACATCGTTCTAATATCTTTTCGTATATAATGATCTTGAATAAGTACAGCAATTACAATAACAACAATATGAATTAAACATAAGAGAAAATGACACATCACTGGTTCTATTCTAGAATACACGTGAGAGAGTACAAATATCATAAATGAGTATAAATACTAAGCAGAAAAGATTATTTTGAGCGAAAATGACGATGGGGGCGCAGAGTACACAAATAGAGGAAAATCCAGAAGAAAATAGCATTGAGGACACTTCCAACGTGTTGCTTTACGTTACATGTACAGTAGTTACCAAAATTATCCAACGAGCAATTTGGACAGTTAGAAAACAGAAAATTGAGTAAACAACTTTCTGTAATAGGTCAAGAATGCTGCGGACACCATCTATAATAGCAAATTATGATTCGTTGAGTTGGAAAATATAAATGTTCGTTACAGGCGCCTAAGAAGGATTGCTGTGTTCATCTACGGCAAACTGTTATAGAACACTCTTTAAATGGAGATTCTGAGCACGAAATTGCTTGGAAAGTGATTTTGTCCCGAACTTCAGTTTATTACAAAATTGCAAAGTATAAAGAAAGAAAATGTGTTCAAAATATCATCGGTAGAGGTCGTAAACGTAAGACAACTGTACAATTCGACAGGGTTATAATTACAACGAAAAGTAAAAGTGGATCGACGAAAATCAGCGTCATCCATGAAAGCTGAAATAGAATCTGAATTGATAATAATCATTTCTACGCAAGCAGTTCGTCGTGGATTGCACAAAGTCAGATTTAAAAGTTACGCTGCTCGAAATAAACCAAATGTTGATAAGGTAATCGTGTCAAACGTATTTAATATGTTAAAAATATCGAGCAAAACCTTTGGACTATTGTGATCAAGTGCCATAAGCTAACAAGTAAATTTAACTTATTTGAGTCAGACGGAAAGTTTATGGTCTATCAAACATCTAAAGAAGCTTTTGATCCTGAATTTACCGTTCCTACCGTAAACAACGGGGAATGAAATGTAAAATGTTAGGATTCTATTTCTTCATCAGGTGTCGAAAACGTAATCTTTTTTAACGGAAACATGAAAGGAGAATTTAATCGTGATATTTTACAAAAACCTTTCTTTGAATTTGCACGAAAGTTGACTTTGGGGCGAAAATGGGCTATGCAAGATGATAATGAACCGAAACATCAAACATATATAGTAATAAAATGGTTCAAATGACCATCATTCTTTCCTAACTTGGATTCAATCGAACGCATTTAGGTTGAAGTTGAAAACAGATTGAAAAAAGTGAAGCTAAAGAACGAAACAGAAGTGAAACTAGATATTGATGTATTCAAATGTTATTTTTTTATGATCGAAATTTTCGTTTTGTTATACGCTTATCGGATAATTTTGGTACTTGTTGTATATCATGAAGATTATCGATAACGACTCATAGTTTGATTATTATTTCCACATCATCAACTAGACGCATGGGAATACGAAAATCACACTGTATCCTCTTCCAGAGACCAGTAATGTTAAAAACTTCTTCGAAAATGATGTGGGTGATTAATTTTTGTTTTGCTTTATTTCTTTCTTTCTCGTATAAATATGCAACTATCATAAGATGCAGCAAAATTAGTCGTAGATGACCGAGTGAGTTAATTACAATGATAATAACAAAGTTTTCCTAAAAAAGCTTTTCGATATCCTTTTGAGGTCAATAAAAGTACGCAGCACAATCTATCACAAGATGTTCTTAATTTTTTTCCATATACTATAGAAAGTTCTCAGCTGATAAAAAAAAACATGGATTTATATGAAGATAATAGCAACAGAAACTCATACCCACACTCACACCCTCAGCTCTTCAACTTGAAGGCACCAAAACACGTCCACATTCAAGATTCTAGACTACACAAAAGGTACAGCTAACAATGAATGTTTGTTGAAGATAATCAAAGAAACAATGAATAATAATATAGAAAATGGACTCCAAAGCCAGAATTGCAAAAAGCGACAAGCATAGTCCTTTCTTTTCTTTTAATCGGAATCGACGCATTCGAAAAAAAGTGAATGCTAAGCTCAGTGAAGAGATTTGACACCAACGTCGTATTGATCGAATGCAATTAAAAATAGATTTTCTTTTCAGTCTTATTTTCAAGCATCATTCGTGAGTCCGTATAATAGTTGTGCTCGATATGATAGAATATCAACATTTTAAAATATTCACATTCTATCAAACTACAATGCTTCGTTTCTTCGTTTTCATTGCTTTTCTTTATTGTTCATGTGAAGCCATTAACGTCGATTTGACTATCAATATTGGATTAGGATCCGGTCAGAATCCAAGTCCTCCTTCTACTACTACTAAGAATCCATATGAACAAGAAAACTCAGTAGCATCCAATGATACTACTAATGAAAGCATTAGTGGAGTAGTAACACAATTGACTACTGTAGAACCGATTGAAACGAATAACTCTACAATGATCGATACTAGTTTTGGCGAATCGGCCACTACTATAGAATCGTTTCAAGAAACAAGTTCTGCAATGGTTGAGAATACGTTGGAGAGCTTGATTGATAAATCAACTGTGCCATCAACGACATCTGCTTGCCCCTCAACATTGGATCTTACTATGCTGGATGATTTGAAAAACGAAATTATTAATACTATTATTAGTACTCTCTCACGTGATTTTACCAATCAGTTGGCAGCACTAGAAGCCCGTCTTTCAACGTCAAACTGTTACTCAAACGAAAAACAAACTCCTAAAGTAGAACTCAATAGGATCATATATGAAAGTCTTATTATTCCACTGAACGGATGGACTCTTGTTTTCAATCGACCATATAGTCACCGAACTCGTACCATTGATCTTGCTCAAATTGCTGGTATATGTCGAAATGAAGTGATTGTTGCTGCTACCGTCAATGGATCAATTATTCTTGCAGCTGTTGGTCCAGCTAGTGTATTGACAACAAATACGACATGGAATCAACCACAACAGTTTGGTGATGTTTTCTGGTATCGCACACCAGGAAAGTCATTCGGTTTTGCTCCAACGTTTACTATTCGACAAACTCAAGGGGATAATGAGGATTTGAGCAATCCTCTTCGACTAAGTTGGCTTCTCGATCAAGATCTTGGTGGTTATCGAGTCGGTGCAACGCGTTCACTAACCGACAGTTCTATTTGGTATAAAACTATCTATTGTAGTTAGTTTTCTCTTTCATAAAAATCTCAGAGTTCAACAATGCAATAAATAATATTGATTGGCATTGATCAGTTACATCGAATATTCCGTTATCATTTCACAGTAATATAATCTGACTAGTAAAAAGAGCTCTTAGCGCAATCCCTTTGGGATTAAAATGTGAAACACGATGGAACTCCTTTACTGGAACCTGTCTACCATAGCCTGTGTGTCTTTGTAGCTTTTCTGCCACTGTCTGTAATCATATATGCAGCCTTTCGGTCACGGTCTGTATTTTGATCTATGGAGTCGGTAGAAACCATCACAGACCGTGACAGAGAAATTAATTAATTAATTAACCCATTAACTAATTAAGTAATTAGGGTGTGAGTGTGTGGGTGTCACTGCACTTCTTCTCTAAAATCACACCCACACACCCACACCCAATATCTTGATTTATTTCACTCTTAAATAAATTTTTGTTTCGTTTTGGTTTTTATCATCCGAAATGAAAGAAAAAGAAAAAAATCGAATCATACATTTTGTTCAAGCGAATGAAAATATGAACAAAGAGCAACTCCATCTTTAATCTAAATAAAACAAAAATGATTATTTTATTTAAAAATTTCTCTTATAAAACAATTATTTATTTAATTAGAAAATAAAATTTTTCTTTTATATTTAAATGTTAAATTCTTTCGAATTTTGTTTTTATTTCAAATAGAATTAAATTAAATTAAATATTGAAAAATATTTATATCTTCAACTAAACAAAAAATCTAAAGATAAAATTCAATGAAGAAAAAAAATGTGAAGATTTTCAAATAAATTTATATATGATAAAAAGAAATTCTATAGGATTTATTTGATTATTTTATATATAACTTCTATAATATAATCGAGATTTATTTTTCACTATTTTCTCTAAAAAGCTGTTAGCGCAATTCCCTCGGGATTTAAATGTGAAACACGACGTAACTGTTGAGGTTTATCATAGTCATTGCTCCACCTCTCTATTCTCCCTGCATTTCTAATACCGTTTGTGATGGGTCCAAAGCTTTTCTCTCAAGGTCTATGAGGATTAATTCATTAATTAGACTGTAATTAGCTAATTAATTAAAATTTTTTGGAAGAAATTCAAATTCTAGTCTTAACCCTTGAACTCTGCTTCACACCCTCTCGAACGGTCTCTGGTGAGGGAATCACCTGTCGGTAACGGTCTGTGATGGTGGAATCACCTGTCTGTAACCGTCTGTGATGGGGAATCGGCTGTCGGTAACCGTCTGTCGGTAACGCTCTCTGATGGGGGAATCGGCTGTCGGTAACGGTCTGTGATGGATAAATTACTTGTTGCTACCGGTTTGTAGTGAATAAATTGTCTCTCCGTATTAGTCTGTGATGGGTAAATTACCTCTTTGTAACGCTCTGTGATGGGTAAATTACGTATTGGTAACCGACTGTCATGCGAAAATTAGCTGTCGGTAACGGTCTGTGATGGGTAAATCACTTGTTCATAACGGTTTTGGATGAGTAAGTTGTTTCTCGCTATTGGTCTGTGATGGGTAAATTAGCTGTCGGTAAGGGTCTGTGGGG